TAGCTATTATTCTGTATCCTTTATGTTTGTGATGGATCACTCAGCTTGCCTCATTTTACAAAATCTGGTGTGGTCAAATTATCATTCTTCTAGATTTTAGTTTCATTTCCTAGCCTTTCAATACTTATGTATAAATCTATTTATTTGGTAGCAGCACAGGCAAAAGGGGCTCCCTGAATCCAACAGGTTGAAGGCCCCTGATCTTAAATGCTGTTGTTATGGCTGTGTGGATGGCTCAGATAGTTTTCATAGTATATAAAATAGAACAATAATTTGACACAAAATTGCAGTTATTTTAAAACAATTTACTTGTCCTGTTTATACTTAGTAACAAGCATACATAAATGTAATATCAGTTTTTTTTTAATGCACAGTTCTAGAATATTAGAAATTTATCTAAATGGGCCTCAATAGTGGGACATCTGCTTTGCAAAAACATTTTATGTGGAAAATTGGAACAGTGTAACATCTACTTGTGAAATACTCAAGTTGAGCACTTAGCTGGTCAGCAAAACACAAAAAGCAAGCAGCTAAGTGTAAACAAAACATTTGGGAACAGACAGTATAACGACTGATAATGCAAGTGATCTGAAATTAGAAGAGATGATATAAGGAAACAAACCATGGGCTTCACTCCCAAGTAGTTGTTCTTAGAGTACAGCAATACTGAACCAAAATTCAATGGCAACATGCTAATCATAACATCTTTTCATGCAAATAGAGTGCATTTTCATTTGTCTGTTGTTAAAAAAAAACAAAAAACCTTTGGAAACTTCTTAATCTTAAATGGATCAATTTGCACCCTTACCCCCCATAGGAAGAACTACAGTGTAACCACAGTGGCATGAGGAGCAGTGTTGATGACAGTTTGCCACAATCTCTAAATAGGAACAATTTCTGTCTGCATTTTCCTCACACTGTGTATTCCCTAGGTTTTTGATGATCCACAACCCATTTGACACGACTTGGATAGAAATATCTGTTGAGCCTAAAAACAGACCAGTAGTGGTGAAATGTGTGGAGGCGTTTATCAGGTCCACATTTCATCATCATAAAAGACGGCAAGCCTGTCAGATGGAGAATTACCCCTCTGTGGATGGAAATCATCAACTTAACTATCGTGTAATGACCCTGGGAGTTATCAAGACACATCACTCAGCCTTGCTATTATACAGGTCTCAATGCATGCTATGTATTTCATGTTCACACACATGCTGGTCTGTCATCTCTAAGCTGATATACTGGGACGAACACTTGTAAAGGAACGTAAAACAGAGAACGGTGAAACAACTGAGACAGTCATTCAAAAATACATACGCACACACACACACACACACACACACACACATATATATATATATATATATATATATATATAAAATCAGCTTGTGTGGACACAAAAGCGTCTTAGACAGAAATTATGGTAGCTGTTTTGGGGTGATTCAGTTTAGGTAGTGATGTGTAAAAACCAATTACTGCTGTCATTGCTCACAAATTCTTTGAATTTGAATAATGTGTTTTCAGATTTGCTCTCTGAATTATTCTTCTATTTATCTTTTTCATATTGTTATTAATTTGTAAGACAATGGCCTTTAGTTTGGAGTTTGAATACAAACCATTTAATTTCTCTAAAAGAGTTATTAATATTAATTTAGTGACATTTTGTTTCAAAGCAATATAAATACAATATATCTATGTTATTTTTTTGCTACATTTATGATCATTAGTATGCCCAACTTAATGGCTTAAAAATGTTATCTTTCTTCTACAGCCACTCTTGAACTACCAGCACATGTAATTTCCTTATTAAAATGATGCAGACCAAACCAGTTTGCATTTTTAATCCTTTTACATGAAATTTTGTGGATCACCTGCAACACACCCCCTTAATGCCATTTTTTTATTGATCAACACAGTATTTTACAACTTATTTCAATTATTTGTAATGAAATACAAATGCATATCTAACAAAGCGCTGGACCCTCTGAATTCTCCAAATTTTAGTATTTATTTTCTATGAAAAAGCTTTAAATGACTGAATTAACCTTTTTTTGGTAGGGGTTGTAAATGAAAAAAAAATAAGGTGGTGTTAGGAACACCACCTACAGAGAACAGAGCATAGGGCAGGGAATATATCAAGAAACCAAAACAACATCATATTGACTCTTGATAGTAACATTGTGACCAATCACCTTCAAGCTGAAAGAGTGCAACAGCCGGTAACAATGAATTTTTATTTACTTTAGATAAAATCCTGAGACAGGAAAACATCCATATGGCTTCTCTTACAGCTTAGAATATTATTTGATAAAAAAATATCCACTTCATAAAATTAAATACAGACTTTTTTATTGGTTAAAAAGCAGACAAAAAATAGCATTGGAAACTCCTGCTCACAAACTATCAGAGTTAGTTATTCTATTCTTTCTAGTAAAATCTTCTCCTACTAAAGTTTTTTTTTAGGTACAGTCGTGTTTTGTGAGTTCTATCAAGAAATCCAACACAATGAACAAGAAGCAAAGAAGGCTTTAGATTTTGTTTTGGTTAATTTTTTCACCTTCTGAGTCAAATTTGCACTTTTGGAGTCTTTTGCAACTCCAGGGAAGTTTCTCCAATGTTTCATGTTCTCTGCCTTTGTGAATAGTGGCTCTCTAAGTGGTTCACTGATATTCAAGTGTTAGCTTTCGCTTTCAAAAAACCTTTTCAGTGACTTTATTTCTAATCGGTTCATTTCTGTAGACTGGGCCATGACGTCTTAGGTTTTAGTGTACTTCATACTGGAGTACTGGTTCTGTTCAAGTCTTTTCTTGATATTCGAGTTTGGAAGTATTTTAAACTGTGTGAGGCAAGTGAAACTGAGCTGAAGTTTCAAAGAAATATTGGTTTTTCACAGTTAACTAATGATTTAATAAGATTAGAAATTAGAGCTGAACGATATTAGAAAATATGCATTAATGATATCAGGTGTGACACATTTCTATTTTCTTCTATCCTTTCTTTGTCAATAGCGTTTCCAACACAACTTTAGCATTTTGGACAATTTAAGTTTGTCTGTGTGAGCATCTGTCTCTGTGAGACAATGTTTGAATTGCTAAATATGACATTAGCATTTAAAAGCATGTTCACAATGCTTTGAATAAATTAGTCAACACTCCAAACAGTTGTTATATGAATATTTCTCATACTAATAATGTGATGACAATATATTTGCAATATTGTGCAATCTTGGTAGAAATACTTTTTCACATAGGGACAGAAAGGGTGTAACTTTTCTTTCAATAAATGAAATTAATTATTAATCATAGTTTATGCTGAATACCTAATTTGAAGGTTTGAGCACTGCAAAAGCATACTTGTGTGTAAAATTGCACTATAATTGTTTTCTATTTATAAAATATAAAGGGGTCATAAATGTTACAAGCATAATTTCATATTGCTTATAAAACTATATTTACATCCCCTATAAAAGTTAGAGTTAGTGTTAAACATTTTACTAAATGCCGTAAACCCCATTGATTAGTTCCCAGGGACATTCTCAGCACACTTGCTGTTCTTGAGTCGGCAGCAGATGCTCACACAGCAGTGAGCAAGAAAAAGCTGAGTGGTCTGATGGAGATGTGGTCCACTTGTTCATTAGTAGTGAATATTCAGGTCACTAGCAGCTGTAACAGGGGAGGGAGACCAAAAGGGCAATTGCTGTCTGATCTACCGAGAGGCTGTTTGTGGAGGGAAAAGCTGTATGGTGGAAAAGTTGAATGGGTGAAATAAGATTCAGAACAACTGAAAATGAAGTCTACCATTCCTTGTTGATTATAAACATTGGATATAAATAAATTCATTTACTTGATTCAATCAGTTTTGTTTTCTTAGAGAATGTTTAAGCAATCAGTCGGTTTGATTTTTGATTTGTTGAGTTGTCTCCTTAAAGTGATTTGAGAAGATGTGTTGTGAATTAGTGCCATATGAATAAATAAAATCAAACTACATTCATCTTGTGTTGTATGCCTTAGTAGTTTGTTTCCCTTTCCAACAAAATAAAAAAAACAGGGGGGGGGGGGGGGGGGGGGGGCTGTAACAACGTGTTAAAGTTCATTACATCAGCTATGACATAGATAAACCAACTTAGTCAATGAGTGAATCAATGAAAGATGGAATGCGTCACTGCATTTTAAGTTAATATAAACTCTTAGCAGCTACAAACTATCATGAAACGGCAAAACAAATACAATCCATAAAGGTAAATTATAGGTACTGGTTATATCTTAAAATTCCAAACTGTGGCCAAGTGTAGGATCCTTGCCTCACAATTATTAACATTATTAAGTGGAAATTAGAATGTTGATAAAGAACATACAATGACCCCAAAAGTACCTTTCACAATCCATCTCACCATCACACAAGCTCTTACACACACTCACACTTTTTTTTCTCCTTAAGATCATCATTTATTAAAGAGGCTGATCTGTCGTAGATGCACACCATCACAGCTGTACATCTCACTGCCCTTTCCCTGCCTCATCCCCTGAGCGGACGTATGCATGTGTGAGTGTCTCTACTCATAGGGAACGGGAGGGTGTCAGCAAACAGACATTGTGATGTGTATCCTGTGTTTGTGTGTGTGTGCAGGCAAGAATGTGTGAATGTTTTGTGTGGGTTTGCTTGTGCAGCTCAGTGTATGTTGTGACTGTAGTGGATGATGAGAGGCTGGCTGCGTGAAACAGCAGTCGTTTCCAGACACCTTCTTGTTTCCTCATTGGAGAAGAACAGTGTAAGGAACATGTAGAGTGCAGCAACAGTTTTAATAAAACTTGGAAAACCAAGAGCCACAGTGATGTCAGTAACAGAACTACAAAAGACACATTTGTATTAAAATCTACACCTCAAATGTTAACTTTAAGGGCTTTAACAAATATATTTGGAGTTCTTAAGAAAACATAAAATCCTTGGTAATTTATTGTAGGTTCACATTTGTATAAACAAAGGGAAGCATAATAACCTACCTGTCTTTTTACTGTCTTTGACTCCTTCTGGCTAAGCTGATGTGAGATTTCATGCTTCAGTCTTAGAAGGAATAAAACAAGAAATACAAACAAAAATACATTAAAAGAGTATAATTGTCAACCAACATTTATAGACAGTGTATGGATTTGCGTATATTTGAGCAAATCAACTTTTATGAATTCAGTACCATGGACAGAGGCATAAAAATCCTTAACTGTTACACCTGTAGAGCTTCAGCTCTTCTCATTGGCAGTAAACTTTTAACTTGGATTATTCCTAACAATACATGTGATAGCACAGCTGCAGAATGAATATTTGTACTTTCAGGTGTGTTGTCTTTTCTTAATTAAAATTTCCTGAACATTAAAGAAAACACCTGATTTCAGTGATTGCCTCAAAGTATTGCTCAATACAATTTTAGTTCAGGAGCTCAATCAGGCTGTTTACTTGTTTTATTTATGAATATATACATATTACTGTATATGTACATATTCATATTCATATTTTTATAATTTTTATCTACTATTACTTTTGTCATTTTCAGTTTAATTTACCGGCAGCTGATTTTTTTTCTTCTTCTGTTTTTAAAGTAAGAGTATATATGTATCAATTTGGGCTGCCATAATAAATAAATGAAAATAATAATAATAATTTGTGACTAACAAAATAAAATTAATAAATTCACAGCAATGCTCATCCGATCTTATTTACAGTGACTTCAGATGGAAGTCTGTTGTTTTTAACATGTTACTTAGATGGTAATTAAATTCTACTTAATAGATAAGAGACATTGCTAATATACTTTATTTCCAGTTATGGTTGAAGAACGGCTTTTACGTAAAGGCATCTAACTTTTCCTAATAATATTGTTTGAACATATATTGGAGAAAGTAGCTATTGATGTAAAAGCGACAGTATAACAAAAACATGGCTGGGGGCCATACTGTACTGTATGCCATTTAATGATTCAAGGCCGTTCAGGCTTACTTGTTCACAGATGCGCAGAGATGAACAATCACAAAGCCATTTACCCATAGGTAGAAAATGCTGAAGCCCAAATCAAGATCAATTTAGCAGATTTTTGTTTTAGCATATTGACATATGGACAGATACATACTGTCAAATAGACACAAGCTACTCCACCCCCTCCTCACACACATACACACTAGAATATGTATCAATGAGCCCCACAAGATATCAGGTTTTGACAATTCCACCAAGTTCTAAATTCCCTCTGCACTGTGCTTGACCATCCAGTGAAGGCATTAAAACATAGCCTATACAGATACAAAAACAAAGAATACTTATGTATTATTTAAGAACTTACACAACAAGGAGAGCACAATAACTTAACATCTTCAAGCAAACTTCGACAGATATAAAAAAAAAAACACAAAAAATCTAGAGACACAATACTCTCATATTTTTGTCAAGATTAAATTTATTAAAACATGATAAATAAATGTTCATGTAACACATGCACTTTCTTAATCCCCCCTTAACAAAAAAAAAGAAAAAAAGAAAATGATAATTTATGATGTAACAAAACACTAATGATCTTCACTAATGTATACGTCCTATGCCACCTATAAATGTTTTGTTTTTTTCCACTCTTTGCTCTAGAATTGACATGCATGGTAGAGAAGGAGAAAAAAGACAAGCTTAATTTTGCTGTAACGCGTGTGCCAATTCCCCTGATCACCGCAAGTCTTATTGCAAAATTAAATGAAACAACGTCTTAAGGAGCGGAACAAGGTAATATCAAGATAATTATGCAACGCAAACAAATGGGATCATCAAAACAGTTGCATTCTTTGGGCAATCATTAGTCTAATTGTACATAACATTCATTGCAGACAAAATTTATTTTTCATTTATAGTTACACTATTAGATTAGGAAGAACCACTTTGCACTAAACGTGTCTTCTAAGTTATTTTTGTGTTTGTTTTGTTACAAAATTAATAATTTAGCAAATCAAAATTATGAAATTGTTAGTGCATGAAGGACATTAAATTTTGGGGTCAAAAGACAGTAAAATCCCATCTGAACAGCTTAATTTTCCAGCTGGGGGCCAGGCTCCTGTCCTCCAGCATAAGGTGTGGAACTAACTGCTTGCTTATAAACAGCAGATCCACTCCTCTGATCCACCTGTACCCCCCCACCCCCCTGTTTCCCTATGGGACGCCGAAAGCCGAGGGACTTGCCTCAAAGGTCTCTCTGAACCCAAATAAACTTCTAGGTGGAACTAAAATACGCAACTGCAGATATTCTTTGTTCTGCACCATTTTTTTTTCTTTATCGTTCATCTCCTGCGGATAAGCTTCGAGGGTTTTTTCCCCACCCTTCTATCACACCCCCAGATCTCTATCTTTATCTGATTAAAGGGAAAGCATAAGAAGTACGTGCATGCAGTACAACTGGGTGTTCAGATCCTGCGCAAAGTTCAAAGCAATTCCTCCCCACCAAACTGCTGACTGACGCGCACTTGAACGCTTTTGGACTGTCAATGTTTTCCTCTGCACTCTGTCGCCCCAAAACTGTAATCTTAGATTGCTCCCCAACCCGCTCGCGAGAAGTGTGTAAAATAATTTGACCTACCTCAGAGACTTGAATCCCTTTTAAAGGTTGCGCACAAAATTTAAGCCGTTGGAAGTTTGACTTAGTCTACTCCTGATCCCTCGGAGGAGTCGCACTGAGGGATAGGATGGGCGCCACTGCTAAGCGCGCCAGCTCCATGGACGTGCGCGTGTTCGCATGCACAAGGGACATAGAGAAAGTGAGTGAGAGGGCGAGAGAGAGAGAGATAGGGAGCAAGTGAGAGAGATGGGAGGGAAACAACAGACGTGGAGAGATGTAGACCCTTGCCAAAGGATGCTTCAGTCTCCTAGCAACAACAATCGATCGGATGAGGAGACATTTTATTGGATAAAAAGATAACTTAGCCATTCACCTCCCATAGCACATGTTTACTCCTCAGAACAACAACTGAAACCTTAGTGAGTAAGGTCGAAGAGTTATGTAGTGCGAAAGAAAAGAGGGGGAGCGGGGGATGGAGACAGATGCTCCCGCAGGTGAATATCTTACACGCGTGTGTGAGGCGCAGAAACCAACTGCATCTCTGCGTCCTTGCAACCTGACTCAAAGCACATCTTGCAGAACAGGAATTCAAATTCGTATTTTTTTTTTCCTTTTGCTTGCAGCAAGCTCCATTAATGTTTTAACACATTATACACTCTTTGAGGTCAGTAGGAAAATAAGTGAGAGAACCGCACTAAGCATGCTGTCCATGCTCCAACTTGATCAGCCACATTTCGAGAATGCAGAGGTTTTTGTGTGCCTCAATGGTGGTGAATATCCACACATCAAAATAAAATAATCATACAATCACATCCATAGATTTCCAAGCCGAATAAAATACGTTTTAAAGAAAGGGGCAATGTATTGTTTTTAAAAGTTTTTTTTGTATTAATAAAAAAACAATGAAATAAAAAGTACATTTCATGTTTAGCTCCCTCTCTTATAGTCAAGGGTGTATTGAACAACATATAACCCTTATATTATGTTGAAAAAAAATGACGTTCATTATGTTGTGGGTCATTTTGACCCGCACTGTGTAAATGCATGCAAAATAGTCAAGAAAACAGGTTAAACCAATAAATTATTTATTTTAGATTACTTAAAAATTTAGTCAAGTCACAAACAATACAGTTTTAATTCACACACTTTATTTAGGTTTAAAATGTTACCTCTTTACAGTTTTTTTTTTTACTTTACCTATAAAATTAATTAGGTACTAATATTTTGAACATTTAACAATTTCAAAGTTCTCCACATGATGGGAAGAATGTAAGTGCTTTCTGCAGATGGAATTCATACATTTCACACAAGTTGTTTTACTGTCCTCTTTGGAGGGACAGAGCTGGGATCTTTTCCTCTTCACCTGTCTCCACTTTATGTTGGTTGGGTAGCGGGCAGTCTTGCCCTGGCAGCTGTATGTTGCTGTGACTTTGTCCAGATTGTCAACTCCTCCTCTGGTTGAGTTATAATCCAGGATCATTTTTGCCTTCAAGTCCTCTTTTGTGCTCAGAGATATATCAGCTTGCATTATATTCATGATAAGAACCTTCTGTTCCCAACATGGTCAGCTTTCTTTTCTGAAGTTCTTCTCCAATGAGGTAGAACATAAAGAGGTCGCCACAAGTGATGTTATGACTTGCAGCCCTTCATTCATCTCCAGCGCAACACACACCCCCTGATTCTTCTAAGCTTTTCCTCCATGTAGTTTTCCAGTATATACTTGCATATTCCATGCATAGCTGGATTTTGCTCCTCAGGCTGCCCATATTATGATATGGGCATTCTGAGCAATGCTGACTGAATCTCCTCAATTCATGTGATTGAAAATATGGTAGGACAAGGAGTTTTATCAAATTAGCTGATGACAGCCTGCATCAACTCTGGTGTGGTGATTTTGAATATTTTATATTACAATCTTTAGATTTCTATGTCACTCTTTTGGAAGATGATTGCCTCATTCCTGGCTTTTCATCTGTTGGGGGGACAATGGCAGACTCTTCCTCTAAATCCTTCTCATCGTAGGAAAATTGATCATCTGGATCAACAATAACTTTGTCTTCTGATTCTGAAAGATCCTCTGTCTCAGAAACCACTTCCTCTGCATCACTATCCCAGTTCAAAATTTGTGATAAAGACTACTCAGCTGTTTTCCTTCAGGAGTTCATTTTTTGGTGAGTTTTTTCATATAGAAGACGTGAGTGCAGTGACAAGAACTAGTGTAAGAAAGTTCCCTCCCTTACCACACCTTGGTCTGGCTCTCAGAGGCAAATGAAAAGATTGAAGTACATCAAAAAAGCATTTTTATTTACCTGAATGGCTACTTACCAACATTAAAGTGTCCGGGTCAAAATGACCCACAACATCATATTTGTATACATACTCTGCACAGACACTCCACTACACATCAGAGTGACCAGATTTTACATACATGTTCATGAGCCCAGATGAGGAAAAGTCACCAAATTTCATGAAGAAAAAAAAAAGATAACTAGTACTTTGATCAACACAAAAAGTGAAATGGGTCAAATTGACCCTTAACATAATATAAGGGTTAAGCACATAAATAAGAGAACATATTTCAGTTAAAGAGCCCAACATGTCTTATTTTATGTTTTTATATTGTTTGGCTATGTATTTATGTTATCCTGTGGGGACAATTTCCCTTAAATTGCCCACATTTTTGGGACTTATACGTACCTGTGGGAAGCAATGACTGGTCCCCTTTGTTAGATTTAGGACAAAGTCATGAATTGAGTTTAAGTCAGGTTTAGGGTTAGGTATGTGTAGGTAATGGTTAGGATAAGGGTCAGACCAATTACATTTTTAAATCTTGGTACAGATTCTCCACTGTACTTAGGTCAGAGCTTTCACTGGGCCAGTCTGAGTATGAAACAGTTTTCATATAAACCTTTTAGACCAAATACACTTTATGTCTTTTGGATTCCTTAGAGAAGATTGTAAGATTTTTTACACTGCACACCATCTAGTGGTCTCATTGTGATGCCTACAACTGAAGCCTTGGAGTGTCATAAATGTGAGGATGTCGACCTCCTGCACAAGTTTAAGTGTCCCATAGTGACATGAGGTACAGAGTGTTGTTGTTATTGATGGCAATAATTTACAAATATGTCCTCCATTTGGTGCGATGTGCAGCCGCACAACACAGGTAGAAGCTCATTGTACTTTGAGTAAAATCTTTTTGTAACCGTACTGTGTTCTTAGCTACATCAGCGGTTACCACTAAAAATGGCCACACCTCCCTCTCTTCTCACGGATATAGCTTGTTCAGTAGGTTCTGATCGGACAGAAGTCATTACTGTTTACATTGGAGTCTGCGATTAAGCCTGTTAGCCTCTAGCTGCAGTTATAGTTACCGGATTGTTAACCAGAACCAGAACCTGTACTTGGAGTACACAATAATTGCATGTCAGCCTCCCAAATATGGAGCCATGTCATGGGTTACAAGCTCACAATGAGCTAAGAAAAAAAGGGAAAACATCAACGTCATTACCCTTGGCTAATGAGTTAAATGATGAAACACATGAACAAATATTAAATTGGGATGTTATTAGACTTTGGAAGAACATGTATTTATAAAAGCAACACTTGATTTTTGCTAATTAAAAGACAAATAAGTTACATGTTTTCTCTTTTAACAAGTAGTTTTCTTCCCCCCTTAGGATGTGTTCTTTCCTTTTTTTTCTTCCCTGATTACTGTTCCTACTCAAGAAAAGTGTCTCTAATGAATGATGCTTCCACTACCATATTTTGTTGGCATGATTCAGGTCGATTTTCAATGTTCATTTTCCGCTGTAGTTTAATGCAAATAGCAAAATGAGTTTATATTTATTTCATCTAACTAGATCACGTTCTTCTACACATCTTTCATGCAGTCTACCTGTTGAGTGTTAAACTAAAAACAGGATTTCTTGTCAGTGTCATTTAATAATACCTTTCCTTCTGCCACCCTCTTAAAGAGCCAGATTTTTTAACTTTATGACAAATTATTTTTTGACAACAGATTTGACCATCTGAGCTATGAACCTCTGCAGCTTTTATGTTGCGAGTAATAGCCTAACTAGGTGACCACTTGAAATGATTTAACCTTGCAGTATTTAATGTCAGTGTATCTAAACATGCTTCACTTTCTTAATGTTGGAAACCACATAGAATTTTTTATTTTTCTTCAAATAGCCATATCTGTGGTTATGAGATCTCATAAAGTGGAAAGGCTCAGGGGATTATTTGATTAATTGTCCAAGGCATCATCACAGGTCAGAGGCTCACTACTCCTCCACATCCACTTTTTGGCTACCATCAGGACCAAAACAAGACTCTCAATTGATCTTTGTATGTGCTAAATTAAAAGCAAATTTAAATGTCTGTAAATTTAAATTTGAATGTCTACTTGTTTTTATGATCATGCAAACAGATTCATTAGGATGCAAGTATGCAAGTTTTCAGCTCCTATTGAACAGAAAATCCTCTTCACGCATCACTGCGTGAAGAGTGCGCCCTCTCTCCCACTCTCTCTCTGCTCTACAACATTGCAAATCACAATCACACAGACACACACACTCTAGACATAGACTGACACACTAAGACTAGAAGCATGACCTATGTATTGCAAAGGTTAGTCAAATTCGTAGATGTACACCACATGAGTACTTGCACAGAATCTCTTTTTGATAGCATCAAAAGAACCTGGCATGTTGCTTTCTCTGCTATGTATGCAGATAGCTTATGGCAGGAAGTTTTGGCTCAAATGTTTTTCACAAATTTCTTGCAGGACCATATGGAAAACCACTGGAAAGATATTTATTACTTCCCTAAAGGAGTAGAGGAGTAAGAGCTTCCACCTCACAGCTTCGTGACACACTTTTTTGTACACATATGAGAAAATAGATATGGAAATCAAACATGCACACTTCCCACTGTTCCCACTGTCAATCATTGCTTTCTAGGACCTCATCCCTGGGATGCTGGCCACTCTAATAAAGGCCTCATTGTCTGCTTGGCATGCATACAGGTGCTGGTCATAAAATTAGAATATCATGAAAAAGTAGATTGATTTCAGTAATTCCATTTAAAAAGTGAAACTTGTATATTATATTCATACATTACATACAAACTCATATATTTCAGATGTTTATTTTGTTTAATTTTGATGATTACAAATGACAACA